AGGGTGAGCAGTACTTAAAGGAAAATTTATAGCTGCAAATGTCTGTATAAAAAAATTAAATGCCTTGAATCAATAAAATAACTTTGCAACTCAAGGAATAGAAAAGGAGGGCATATTAAATCCAAAACTATAAGAAAGAAGGAAATAATAGACAGGTGTAAATGAAATAGAGGACAGAAAAATAATAGAAAAAATCAAAGAAACAAAATTTGACTGTCTGAAAGATCTATGAAATTGACAAGCCCTTAGCTAGAATGACTAGACAAAAACAGTGAAGACAAATAACTATCCAAAAACAAAATGGGAACATTACTATCAACCTTAAAGAAATTAAAAGGATTACAAAGCAATACTGTGAACAATTGCCTGCTAACAACTTAGTAACCTAGATAAAAATGACAAATGTCTAGAAACACAAAAACTACCTTAACTGATTTAAGAAGAAGTAGAAAATCTGAAAATACTATAGCAAGTAAAGAAATTGAAGCCATATTGAAAACAATGACAACAACAAAACCTCCCAAAAAAGAAAAGCCCAAGACCAGAGGGCTTTGCTAGTGATCTACTAACCATTTAAACAAGAATTAACACAAAACATTCTCATGCTCTTCCAAAAGTTAGGAGAGGAGGCAATACTTTGCAAGACATTCCATAGGGCCAGTATCAAAAAAAAACATATATGTCCTTGACTTAATAATAGTTTCTAAGTATGACACTAAAACACAAGTAATGATTTCTTAATATTTTAAAGACAGAATTACTCTATGACCCAGTAATCCCTCTCCTAGGAATTTATCCAAAAGGAATGAAAACACATACTCAGATAATTTGTACACAAATGTTCATAACAACAATATTCAAAATAGCCAAAATGTGGAAACAACCCAAGTGTCCATCAACAAATGAATGCATAAACAAAATGTGATATATCCACAAGTACAATAGTACTCAGCTATAAAAAGAAATGAAGTACTGATACATGCTATGCATGGAAGAGTCATTATGCTAAGTGAAAGTAGTCACACATAGAAGATGGCACATCACATGATTCTATTTATATGAAATAGGCAAAATAGGCAAGTTCATAGTGATAAAAACCAGATTAGTGGTTACTGGCGGAGAGGGAGAAATGGGAGTGACTACGTGAAGGTTATAAAATTTCCATTTGGTGTAATGAAAAAGTTCTGGAACTAAATATTGGTGAGGATTGCACAACATTGTAAGTATACTCAATGCCACGGAATTGTACATTACAAATCATTAAAATGTAAATTTTATGTAATGTTTATTTTACCATAATAAAAAATGCATAATGCATCACTCTCAACTTGGAAGATTTGTGTTTTATAACATAAAAAGATATAATAGAGAAACTGAAAAACAATTAGATAAATAATTCTGCATACTTACTTTCCACCCATCTTTTGCCATTGTTTTTCTCATTCCTAGCTTGACCAAATTGGAAAAAATCATTCTTAATTTGTTAGTTTTTAATAGAAACAGCACTCTCTTCTTGCACTTTTGTATTATTAGTTTGCATAAATTTTCATTAAATATTTAATTGTAATTAGTATATATGTTAACAAACACTTATAGAGACATGTGACTAGAATAAATAGTTCAGGAAAGAAGGACAGCAAAGTCTTGACAAGTAGATTAGCTCAGCTCCCAGAAGGAGAAGTGTGAGTGAATACATTGTGGAACATGCTACTACCAACAATATCTGGGTACCACGGACATCTACCACTATCATTTTACAGAGAGAATCAAGGGTGTGGGTACACAAGGAATTCGATTGAAAGCTTCAACTGCAGTTAATAGTATGTAGTGAGCTTTGGCTTACCAAACATTTTATCATCTGCTATGTGAACTTTACATATGTGAAGACCCTATCGACATCATTCATAATAAAGTCCACAATGCCTACAAATAGTGCCTGGCACATAAATAGTTCTCAAGAAATATTGGTGATCCAGAAGTGACTCAACAAAAATGGTTTACTCATTTAAAGGAGAGGATAAAAAGTATGTGAAAGTGTTTGAAAATATATATGTGGTATTTAATATTTACTATGCTTTATAATAATATGTTTTTGTCACTTTGCAGCCCATATCTTCCTATAGCATATACTTGGTTTAGAAAATGCACTACCTTCAGCTGTCATTTATTTTTTTTAATTTAATCTTTATTGTATTTTTTCCCTTACCATTTAGTCCCCTTATCCTCCCCTTCCCCCTGCAATCACCACACTGTTGTCCATGTCCAGGAGTCCTTTTTCCTTTTTGCTCAGCAGTCATTTAAAACTGTCTTTTAAAGAGCCACACAGTTCTCTAAGAAAACCACAAGACAAAAGATGAATGGCACTTTTCATTATTTTATGTTTGGTTATGGGCCCAACATTTTACAAGGCAATAATAAAATGAAAACATTTAAGTAAAACTTACTTATTATCTTATACTTGTATGTGCCAGCTGCCTTTGAACCTCAGCATTGCTTTCCAAGCAATTTTGTTAAACCTGAAAACTATAAATTATGATGGATATGAGTGTGTATATTCTAGTTTACCAAAGGGTAAGTGATATACTCATTTTTAAAAATAGTTTCCATTCTTATCCCTGTTTTTAGTTACTTAGATCTTTCTTTTAAAATGCCTGTTTTTCTTGAAATTTTACTTGTGTGGTCTGACCAAGTGTAAACTATCTTTGGGGGAAAATGAGGGAGGAAAAACAAAATTACTTCAGCTATTTCCAAGTAAGGAAAAGATGTACTTTGTATGTTTTTTATTTTAATGAAATTAAGAACAGACACTTGATGCTCCCTTAGCATTTCTAAAGTCATCCAGTGTCCTGGAGGCATTATACATGGTCAAAAAAACAAAAACCTTAGAACCAAAATATCTTGATTTTAGTAAAAAACATTTCCACTGCCTGGCTGTGAGACCTTGGACAAGTCTTTTTACCAGGTTTGGCCTTGTTGTCCTTACTAGTAAATGCGGAAAATAATAATACCATGTGAAAGTGGTAGAAAAATAGTCTGATAGCTTTAGAGGATAAATTTTTTTAATTTATTTAGTTTTTCAAATACATTTGTCTCTGCCTTCCCCCCACCACTTTCTCTTGCCCCCTCCCTCCCTCCCTCCCTCAATCCTTCCCCTTTGGTTTTGTCCATGAGTCCTTGCTGTATGTTCCTTGACTTGCCCCTTCTCTTCTTTTTCCCCGCCCCCCCTCCCTCCTTCCCTCTTGTCTCTGTTGGTTTCTTTTCCTTTCAGTGTTGCTGGTCTTATTTTCCTTGCATCTGTGTATTGTTGGTTAGGTTCCACTTATAGATGAGATCATATGGTATTTGTCTTTTGCCCCCTGACTTATTTCGATTAGCATAATGCTCTCAAGTTCCATCCATGCTGCAAAGTTTAGTAGTTCTTTTTTTCTTTCTGCTGCATAGTATTCCATTGTGTATATGTACCATAATTTTTTGATCCAATCATCTACTGATGGACATTTAGGTTGCTTCCAACACTTGGCCATTGTAAATTGTGCTGCTATGAACATTGGGGTGCATAGGTTCTTTTATATTGGTGTTTTGGGATTCTTAGGGTATAGTCCCAGCAGGGGAATCACTGGATCAAAAGGCAGTTTCATTTTCAGCTTTTTGAGGAAATTCACACTGCTTTCCACAATGGCTGCACCAGTCTGCATTCCCACCAACATTGAATTAGTGTTCCCTTTTCTCCACAGCCTCGCCAGCAACTGTTATTTGTTGATCTGTTTATGATGGCTATTCTGACCGGTGCGAGGTGGTATCCAATTATGATTTTGATCTGCATTTCTCTGATGGCTAGTGATGCCAAGCATCCTTCCATATATCTCTGGGCCCTCTGTATCTCTTCCTTGGAAAAGCGTCTGCCCAGGTCCTTTGCCCATTTTTTATTGGATTGTTTGTCTTGGAGTGGAGTCGAGTGAGTTCTTTATATATCTTGGAGATCAAACCTCTATCTGGTATATCTTTAGCAAATATATTTTCCCATACGGTTGGCTCCCTTTTCATTTACTGATGTTTTCTTTTGCCGTGCAGAAGCTTCTTAGATTGATGAGGTCCCATTTGTTTATTTTTTCCTTTATGTCCCTTGCTTTAGGAGACATATTGGTGAAAAAATTGCTGCGTGGGATATCTGAGAGTTTCCTGCCAATGTTCTCCTCTAGGACGTTGATGGTGTTGTGACTTATATTTAAGTCTTTTATCCATCTTGAGTTTATTTTTGTGTATGGTGTCAGCTGATGATCCAATTTCAATTTTTTGCATGTAGCTATCCAGCTCTCCCAACATCATTTGTTGAAGAAGCTATTATTACTCTACTATATACCTCTGCCCTCTTTGTAAAATATTAGTTGCCCATATAGATCTGGGCTTATTTCTGGGCTTTCTAGGCTGTTCCACTGGTCTATGGGTCTGTTCTTGTGCCAGTACCAGATTGTTTTGAGTATAGTGGCTTTGTAGTATAGTTTGATGTCCAGTATTGTCATCCCTCCTACTTCATTTTTCTTTCTCAAAATTGCTGTGGCTATTCAGGGTCATTTATGGTTCCATATAAATTTTTGAAATGTCTGTTCTATTTCTCTGAAATACATCATTGGTATCTTAATAGGGATTGAGTTGCATCTATAAATTGCTTTGGGCAGTATGGAAATTTTGATGATATTAATTCTTGTAATCCATGAGCTCGGTATATACTTCCATTTATTTGTCCTTAATTTCTTTCTTCAATGTTGTATAGTTTTCTGCATACAGGTCTTTTACCTGCTTGGTTAAATTTATTCCTAGGTACTTTATTTTTCTTGTTGCTATACTGAGTGGTATTTTTTTTTCTGATTTTTCGTCTTCTATTTTATTGCCCGTGTACAAAAATGCCTTTGCTTTCTGAATATTGACTTTGCATCCTGCTGTTTTGTCAAGTTCACTTATTAGGTTGAGGAGTTTTTTGGTGGAGTCTACAGGTTTTCCTAAAAAATATGGAACGCTTCACGAATTTGCATGTCATCCTTGTGTAGGGGCCATGCTAATCTTTTCTGTATCATTCCAATTTTAGTATATGTGCTGCCAAAGCAAACACTAGAGGATAATATTAATATTAGTTATCATCTTATAAAATTATCAAATATGAACTTGAAGACTCTTCTGGCTTCATACAAATATGTACAATACTAGTTTTATTCTCACACTTCCTCTCCACAAAACTTAACAGCTTTTGGTATGGTGAAATAAACATTATTTTCCATGTTTAGGTAAGTTCCCAGAATTTTATGCAACAAACCATATAAGACTGTTAGCTCTTTATTTTCTAAATCTAGCCATGTTCTGGGTCATACCACCAAACATACCCACCCACTATCCCCCAGAGGTTGGACCACAGTTGCCTGAAGTCTAGGTCTCCCAATCTCAGATGCACTGGCCATCTTTCACTATTAGTTATAGTTTTCTGCAAAAATCTCCAGTCTTTGTTCAGATCCTGCACTCACTGCAAAGTCTGGAAACCTCAACTTACCTGAGGTCTGGAATAGAAAACCTTCTTTAGACTGGTAATCATTATTAATTTTCCGTCTCTCTTTGACTACCAGCTGTGCCATCATCATCTACCACTTACCAATGGCTGTGACAATTCTCACATAAAGAAACATAAAAACGGGGTGGGTTACCCAGCCTTCTGTGTAAAAATTGTGAGTATAAAAATGTTCTCTCTTACTGGAAGACCACAACTAGAGCCAAATTTTATGTAAGGAAAGTTAGCTCTTGAGAAATATATGAGCCTTATTTTACTTTCTCCGCAGGAGGACAGCTCCCTTTCTTCCTAACCAGCTAATTCAACTGAGCATGACCCTTTCATATCCCTATGACACACAGACGTCTACTCATTATATGAGTCATGGTCTTTTGCTGATGCCAAGAAAAAAAAACTTCATAAGGTAACACCTTTTAAAAAATTAGCAGCAAAATGGAATTTTCAGCAAATTATTTGACCTTATTTTCATAGGACTGTTTAAATCCTTCATAGAGGTTGTTTGAGACATTACCATTTTGAAGAAAGACATCCCCAAACAATTACATTATTGAAATGGACTGGATTTTAAGGATGAAATTTACTTTAGTAGGGCAGACTAAATGAAAAGAACAGATTTTAGTCAGAACATAATCCAATATCCATAAATAACGCACTACTTCAACCAACATTGCAAAAAGAACACTAGAAGGAATTTTTTACATTCAGAAAACATTCAGACTTTCCATGGCAGTATTCACCATAGGAATAGATAACAGTGAAGTTCAAAAACATAATTATACAACACTATGGTTTGAATGTGCAATTGCTTTCCTCTCTGAGGTTTAAAATATATTACACCTTCACAATTGAACATCTGTTTTTATATACCTAAAATATCTGGCTTTAAAATGTCTTGTCATTGAAAATGTCATTCAGAATATCATCAGGAAAAGTAAATATTTAACAGAAACAAATATCTTATTAGGGAGTCTTCACACTCTTTCCCAGTTCTTGCAGAAGAAACATCAAAGGAGGAAGTCAGCTAGATCCAGAGGATTCACTGAATCAAGAACACAAGAGATCCCAGGTCAAAGCCTGTCTCGCCATTTTCTAATCCTTTCCACAATACTCTCTGCTTTAGGAAAATTAACCCCTTTGGTTTTCTGGATTCTTCAGTAGACAATTTATTCAAAGAAAAATGGTTATGTTTTCGATTTAGGGGTTGGAGTTACAAACATTCCAAATGAAATGAAGCCAAGGGACAACTTAAGCCTTATTCCCCCCCTAGTTTTATTCTGGGTAGGAATGAAAATGTGGAAAAGATGAGAAGTTTATCAAAGGACATTAGTAAGTTCAGATTTCTATCAGACAGTATGGGGCAATACCAGATTTCACAACAATCTTAGAGCTATAACTTCCTTTTTATTTTAGAAAAAATGAGGATTTCAATTAGAAGAGGTATCCAATCATTGCACTTGAAAATTAAATGTGTTTATCTTTTTCTAATTTCAAATCCATTATTAATACTTGTCAGATCAGCTCTGGATGGTGTGGCTCAGTGGATTGAGTGCCAGACTGAGAACCAAAGGGCTGTGGGTTTGATTCCCAGTCCAGGCACATGCCTGGGTTGCGGGCCAGGTCCCCAGTAGGGGCTGCATGAGAGGCAACCACACATTGATGTTTCTCTCCCTCTCTTTATCCCTTCCTCCCCTCTCTAAAAATAAATAAAACCTTAAAAAAAAAAGACTTGTCAAATCAATACATGTCACTATGCAGAATCACAAGAAGAAAAAATATGAAGAGAAAGAAATAACAAGGAAAACAGGAGGGGGAGAGGTTACATTTAGCAAAAATTTATTTTTACATAATAGTAAATAAAATACAATCACTTTGCATAAGGAGAAAAACAAAGCAAAAAACACAAAACCTCTTTACTGTGGTTGTGAAGTATACGCTGACAAAGTAAAGGATAGTGAAGCGTAAAAAATAGTGATGAATCCAGTGGCCAGTTATGGAAATGGCACCTCTCCTAAAGGAATGTCTGGAATAGTGCTTCCAGTGGGAGCTGGTGAATGGCTGCACCCTGTGAAAATGAAAGTAGGGAGTCACCGCCAGCCAAGGCAGGGGCATCAGAGGGAACGTTTGCCTGGCCAGGACAGATGATGAAAGCTGAGCAGCCACATGCAATGCCAGGTCTGGGACAGTCTGGAGAGAGAGGAAGCCAAGGTGGAGCTGAGTTGGTAGGAAAAAAATACCCAAATCCCGAGTTATAAAAAAGCAAAACCATGAAAGGTCACTTATATACCCCTTACCCTTTACCTTGTATCTATAATCATGGGATATTGAAGTAATGTTTAAGACCCTATCTTTGATTATGTGACCAAAACTAAACTGGGGGAAGGGGATATTTTAAAGTTTCTTTAAGCTCTTCATTTATTCAATGAGTATACACATAGAACTTATTCTTTGCTAAATACAGGGCTAGGTTTCAGGAATACGAAGGTGAAAAAGAAGCCAGGAGAAGAAAGGGTTTCAATAAGACAGAACCACCAGAGAGAAATCAAGATCAAACATTAAAGGACCCATTGGATTTGAGAATTAGAAAGCAGTGTGTGATTTTTGCAGGACAAGTTTTAGTGAATGGTAGAGCAGAAAGAAAAGTGTAGTGAATTGAAAAATAATTTAGTGGTAGGTTCATGAAAAAAAAAAGGGTGTATGTAACTTTTCCATGTTCTTGGTTGAAAGGGAAGGAGGGGACGTAAAGCTCAGATAGGTTTGGTGTTTGTTATTATTACTGTTTTACTGTTGTTTCAAAGGATGTTATTCATCAGTTATTCAAATGATGGCATTTTTGATACATCATTTGGTTTATTTAATTTAGTAAAATATTGATAATTTACACTTGGAAAAGACCATAGAGATCATTCAGTACAGTTTTCATATTTTACAGATGGAGAAACTGAGGACCTGGAAGTTATCCTATTCTAGTCATTAATTTTAAAATCCATATCACCTGACATCATCTGTCTAATATGAGGGAATAAAAAGGCAATGACTATTTATGACTGACTTCCTTCCTTCCTTCCTTCCTTTATTCCTTCCTTCTTTCTTTCCTCTCTGTTATCATCCTAATGCTATCTATTAAAGTACATAATTTAAACTACTATCCAGGTAAATTAAGGTGAAAGTATAACATCATACTTTTTATATAGCTATATAGTTAAGCCACAAAATTAAGTGAAAAGTACATTTTGGAATGATCTTATAATTGTCTCATTTCTACATTTTAATTTTCTTTTGTTGACCTGACACTCACATGGAACTCTTCTTATAAAAAGTAAATTTAAAAAAACAATTAAGCAAAAACTAAACACTTTTCTTATACAATTTTTTAGCAATAAAAAGTTCTTTCATTACAACCTATAAATCTTATAGCTGGATTCTCCTCATTTTAAGTGTCAATAAAGGTAATAGCAAACTATAAAGATGCTTTAAAACTTATAGTAAATAGTAATTTTATTTTTGTAGTGTTGAAAGCTTTAGCATTAAAAATATTTAGTGTTTAAAAGCAGACATTATATGAAACTAGAAAAAAATACAGGATTTAAAAACCTTATGTGACCTTCTACTCTAATTGAGCCAAAATACATAAATTATAGCACCATTGAATTTGGAGAAGGAAATGGCCTATTAGGTCATTTAGTATTTCCCCTGCTAAATTTGAGCAGTTCCCTACAGCATATTTTCTAACACTGTTAGCCTGGTTCAGAAAGTTTTACGTGATAACACTTTTCACCACATCCTTAAAAAGCTATTAATCTAGTCGAGCTTCAAAGAAATGGGAAGCTTTCTTTTCTTAATATGATTCCACCAGCTTCTCTGCCAGGTACCCATCTCTAACAACTTTCTTCCTTTTTTTAAGTATGAATTGTATGGGGCCAACCTGAAGGAAAATTATAGAAGTGGCAGGACTTGACCAACAGCAAACCCTTCCCTCCAGTTCTCTCTCCAAGTCTGGACACCAACAATGAAGTGTTAACCCTCCTACTTAAAGCCATCCTGCCCTCTTCTTTTCTTCCAACTGTCGGGCATCCTGAAAGAGGCTATATAGGTTTAACATTATGTTTATCATCCCTTAGGGATGGATTTTCTATTATTGGTAGCTGTGTTTTTACAGGCCTGTGTGGAAAGCAGGGACTCCATTACTGCTGTTTGCTAGAACTGATACAAGATGCCGAGCTGGTAATTATCCATAGCTAATTTACCTTCTCTAAATCACTTTAAGAGCAGAGAAAAATTGGGGGGTTTTTACCTTCAGAAGGGTAAGTCCTTAAGTTTCACAGGTTGTCAACTGAGATAGTCATTCTGAAAGCAGGTTGAAAGGCAGTTTTGGAAATTTCGGCCAACATTTTCAAAAGGGTAAACATAGTTATTCAGTAGGTATTTAAAACACCCATGTTATATATGGGCCACTGTGCTTGGGCTGGCTCATGCCAGCCCAGGAGCACGGATTGTTAAGTTTTCAGGAATTTTGTTAAAAACCCTCATGATTAAATATTAGTTGCATAATATTA